AGTGTCATCTGTACACACACACAGAGAGAGAGAGCGAGAGAGAGAGAGAGAGAGAGAGGGAATGTCATGGGTACTCACACACAGAGAGAGAGAGCGAGAGAGAGAGAGAGAGAGAGAGGGAATGTCATGGGTACTCACACACAGAGAGAGAGAGCGAGAGAGAGAGAGAGAGAGAGAGGGAATGTCATGGGTACTCACACACAGAGAGAGAGAGCGAGAGAGAGAGAGAGAGAGAGAGGGAATGTCATGGGTACTCACACACACACACACACACACACACACACACACACAGAGAGAGAGACAAAATCACAAGACAAATAAAAATAAAACATTTAAGAGTACGGTCCACACAAAGGATAAGAGTTATGATAAACCAAAAACACATCTTTTTCTCAAGGCTGTAACCATTTTCATGTGATGATTCCCCCCCATTTACTGTACATGCCACTTTACTGTGGGCACTACTTACATACTTTGATTTCTAGCAATAATGTAACATCCTAGAAGAATTTCTGGAGTGAAGTCAGCAAAACACTTTTTGGTAAACTGTGATTTAAATGCAAATAAATCAATCAATTCTACCAACACAATTTCAAGACCACCCATTATTATTAGTAATGTGTGTGTGTTTTTTTTTAAAGGAGCAGGACACCAAAAGCTGATTTCAAGTTCTACAATAAGCTCCACAGAAGTCAATACTCAATTCAATTATTAAGTGTTCATTTCTTTAATTATTCCGTCATCAAATTGTGTAAACCACAAAGTCCAGAATTACTTGCCGAATTCATGTCATATTTTGAATAACCATTCAGCCTATTCAGTCCTTAGTTGGGGGTGATCTGAAAGACTAATTCAATTGTAAATTTGTTTAATTCTATTTTTTATACTAAACATGAACCTCACCTGAATGTACCTGGAGATTTTGGGGTCCCGTGCTGTACCTTTCTTTAATGAGACCAAAGACTTCTCAGCTGAACGAAGAGCTGCCTTCAGCTTCCCCTTTAAAGATAACACGTGTAATCATATAAAAACTCGATTCTTTCAGTAACGAAGTGGGCAGCCATACTTTAAGCATTTATTAATGACACCTGCGCACCCGATCTCACCTTGCGTTGTCGCACGGCCTGCTGTAGCTTTTGCGTTTGGTGCCATCTGTGCTCATGTTCCTTACACGTTGCACATATAGCCTCTTCATCAGTTTGACAGAACAGCTCGATTTTCTCTCCATGTATCAGACACTCGTGTTCTCCGTCCTTCTCCTCCTTCTTGTTTTTCTCTCTCAGGTAAGACTCACAGGTGTTCCTCAGGCTCAGGTTGGACACCGGTTCCTGCGGAGACACCTGTCTACAGACGGGACAGTTTCTGGAGCTGCTGGAGGTCCAGTGAGCATTAATGCACTGCCGGCAGAAACTGTGTCCACAGCTCAATAACACCGGATCTCTGAAGAGTTCAGTGCACACAGGACAAGACAGCTCATCCTCAAGCGCCATTGAGAGACATAAGAAATGAAACTGAATAAAGATTTCTCTGAGAACAAATCTGACTTGCAAAATAAACACTTCCCAATCTTAGTACAGCCTCTGTATGAGGAAATGACATGTCAAACTTTCATTGGAAGAAAAAGAAGGTCGGAAAGAATCACTAAAACGTTAATATACCCAAACAACAGGGGGCGCTGATGAACCGCTCTGATTCACATGCAAATCTGCAAAAGCATGAAAAAAAACTAGTTTATACTGGCAACGTATTAGTAACATTCCTACACACACGTGTAGACCATTTAAAATAAGAGTAAAAAACAAAATGTCAACAGGTTTGTGTGACAGTTACGATTAGGGGTAGCGTTATTATTTTTAGTATTACATTATATTGGTCATTTCCGTATTATATTGTGCATTAAAAAAAATGTATAGCTGATTTGGACTCGCGTCTTTGCATTTAGGCTACATGACTGTGACCAGCAGATGTCCTCGGCGAGCGCTTCAAAACTGTGACCTGGTTCGCGTTGTGTTTCAGAAGCACCGTTTGTGCCTCTTCACTGTTTTAATAAATGCGCATTTATACTCTTCTGGTCTGCTCACGAGACTACTGTAGTACGCTCATGTGAGTGCGTTAGCCACGCCCACAAACTGTCTAGCAGATTCCAACCGAGCACAGCTGCTTTTCTTAAAGGGGTCGCCGCGAAATTAAAGGCGAAAACATCAGTTTATAGAGTTTAATTGCAGTCTATACAGTTTAATTACCATATATTATAATCTCTCCGTCATTTACCAGATGATTGAGGCCAGTGTATTTTTTTTTGCACCACAACCTTTCTCTTTTTAGTAAGAAGCCTTTCCCTTTAAATCTGCTCCCGGGACCACCTAGAGTCGCTCCGCTTTTCTGTCGGTTGGCAATAAGTCGCCGAGGGTCACTGATCGCGTCAGCGCGCCGCGATCAGTCTCGCCGTTCCGCTTTCCTGCCCGATCTTCCGCTTTTTCTCAGTTTTTCTCGTTCTCCAGCCATGCATCTGCTGTGTTTCTTTGTCCTGCTGCTCTGGATCGGTCCGGCGCGCGGTTATTTCCCGGAGGAGCGCTGGAGCCCGGAGTCCGCGTTGCTCGCGCCGCGGGTGCTGCTCGCGCTGGTCTGCCGCAACTCGGCGCACTCTCTGCCGCACGTCCTCGGAGCCATCGACCGCCTCAACTTCCCCAAAGACCGCATGGCTGTATGGTGAGTTCCGGCGGATTGGACTGTTTGGCGTGATTTATCAGAATTGATGTTCCGCGCAATTACGCGTCTGACAGCTGCGCGTCCTGCGCTGGAATGATGCGTTGTGTGTTAACTGTAAGTGACTGCAGACTTTCTGTAAGTGAGTGAAAGTAAGTAAACAATAGAGAGGCGTATTATGTGCGTGTTGACTGAACTAAACTAACAGCAGCTGTGCTTACGTGAGTCTTTAGAGATGTGATTTGTGATTTATCTCTGCTTGGAAACGAGAGCAGGATAGATTTGACTCGGTTCCTGCTGTGGCCCGTGTGCGTGGAGGGGACATGAGCGAGCGACTCATGCCGATCTGATCAGCCGACGTGTCTTTAGCCGCGGCCATGAATGCCCGTTGCGCGCGGTGATGGAATTTGTGAGAAAACAAAAAAGTTTCCTGCATGAATGAGAGTCAGTGAGCTGAAAACTTCCCCTGCGGCGACAGCCAGATGAAATGTATGAAACACCTTCTGAGAGACTTTATGACCTCATAAAACATGCATGTCAGAAAACTAGGGAAGACATCTTTAATAATCGAATTGTGTAGTGAACTATAGACTACTTATTGATTTCTATTTACTTAGGGCAGAGTTTCTTTATAGTCATCAAATACTTTAATGTTTAGTATTCACAGTCAACATCCCTTCAGCAAATACTTAAGAAAATGAAAGTTGACCCCAAAAACTATTCTGAGACTTTCAACCTGTATTTGATTACAAAATATCAGACCAAGTGAAAGATACAAAAAGTAAAACATTTTGTTTTGCATGATAAAGCAACATTTCACCCAAAAATGAAAATTCTCACCATCTGCTTATTTAAGAGCATGGTCCCATTCAGTGTTTGGCGTAATGCATTGCTTTAATTACTTTCCCAAAAAATAGTGTGGTCCATTTTCATGTTGCTTTTTGTTTGTCAGTTCGGAGCCAGGTTCTCTTCCAGTGGATTATATAAAACTATTTTCATAATCCAATAAAGAAACTTGGTTCTGATGAAAAATTAAAAAACACCAACAGCCAATCAGAATCCACCAGACAGAAGAAGAGCTGGAACATTTAAATGCTAATGTCCGAGCTGGATGCTAATGCAGTTATTGTTCTTGGTGTGAACAAGCATTAAATGAGTACATGACAAGAAATGAATGCAATTGTGTGTGAACTCTTCCTTTAATTGTTGGGTGAGTTTAAAATAGCATCTGATTGGCGTGTAGCCAATGTAATGTAAAACATTTTTGACATCGTATCATCCTCGTTTCATTCAGTTCAGAGTCGCAGCGGTGTTCAGAACTGAAGCCTCGCTCTCAGCGTGTAGTTAACAACTGAAACTGAACCGCCGGGGTTTGTGTAGCTGCCACAAACAGACCAGAACAAAACCACATGTGGTCCGAGACTCCCAGAAGCCGTCGGGTTCAGCGCTCGCTAGCACTTTAGCACACTGAAACTGAACTGTATTTAGGAAAGGTCTTTGATGAACAGATGAACATCTTGGCAGATCTGAGCGTCAGCACACGCACATCAAAGTCCATATAATCTAAAGCGTTATTACAGGAATAACTCAAACTGCGCTTAAATCAGTTATGAGAGGCGCTGACCGCTAACAAGCAGGCTCGCTACATAAGCATAGCATTAGAGCGGTTCACAAAGACACACGACAGCTCGTGATCAACATCTCCAGTGGGGTTCTCATCTGCTCCAGCTTTCATTTTTACAGTTATACTGTAGGATGGGCGTCGTCGTGTGATTGGTTCTCTCAATGCGAGGGCGGCGGTTTGGCGCCTTTTTCTCCTGTGTCTTAATGGCTTTAATTAACGAATGAGTGCTTTCTTTTGATGACTCTCTATGAATCAGGCAGCCACATTATAGATGTAATTTTACACCCACAGATGTTTAATTGTCATTTTATCACCATAATTAGATATAATATATAATAATATGTAATTATAATGCATACACTACCCTTCAAAGTCAGTAAGATTTTTTTTATGCTCACCCAGGCTGCATGTATTTAAAAGTAAAAACACTAATCCTGTGAAATATTATGACAATGCTATTACAATTGATATATAATATAATATATTGCGATTTAAAATAACTGTTTTCCATTTGAATATATATTATTATATAAAAATTATTATATATTATTATATAATATAATATAATATAATTATTTTTGTTGGAAACTCAAAGAAAATAAATGTTTTTTTTCTGCATGTACATTATCGTTTTGGATGCAAACCATTATTAACAAAAAAGTTATTTGTTTCTGAAGTTTTCTAGTGTTTCTTCAGATCTCTAAACCTAATTATGAACACTAGTAGGGGTGGGCGATATGACCAAAATCTTGTATCATGGTATGAGTAATTTTATATCATGATAACGATATACATCACGATATTGTTATTTTTTTTTCAATATAGTTATTTTTTCTTTTAAAAAGGTTATGATATTAAAATCTTTTATTCCATAGAATTTTTATAATCCTTGTCACCAATGTCGATATCAAACTAATACAAGAAAATAATAATAAAAAAAACAAGCTCACTGGAGATAAATAAACAGTCAGTGATTAAATAAGAACAAGAAACTAATTACAAGCAATAGGACAAAAAACTACAATAAATAAGAAATACATTGTGTAAATTAATTAGTCTTCACTGTGTAAGTTTCTATCTATCTATCTATATATATATATATATATATATATATATATATAGGCATAATTATTAGCATTAGCATTATTTATTTATTTTCTTCTTATTCTAGTTACAAAAGTGATTTAGTCAAGAGCAGTGAGAGATTTTCTCTCACTGTTGCTTGATTAATATGAATGGCAGACAGGACGAATGTTGGACAGCTTCCCCTTTCAGACTGAAGTCCTGATCCAATATACTGTTACACATGCGTTTTCTCTTGCAACTGTTTACGTTCCCTTAAGACCTAAATGACTGTGTTTATGAGGATACTTGCAAAGCCGGGCATTTGGACGCATATAAGCGTTTATGCAATTGTTCAAAGCCAATAAAGTGGCAAAAATGCTCACGAGCTCTATTAGCAGCTGATGCTCGGCTTACGCGCTCCTCTCACAGAGACAGTGTGCACGTATAGCTCTGTTGTTTGTGTTTCAACGGCCTAAAATCAGTTGTTTTAAACTGCAGTGCTTAAAAATGCGTGCAAACATTAAGTTTTCGTGACCACGCGCAAAGCAACGTGGCGTGAGCGCGCATGCTGTTATTCACGTTTCTGCCTGCATCCCCGTGAAATTCATGTAATGCCGGGTTCAGACTACACGATATTTTTGTCGGTCACGATAGTCACTATGTCAGATTACACGATTTTGACTCCTAAAATCTTGTCGTGTCGTGGACAAGAAACATGTCAGACTACACGTTGCTTCCCGACCATTCATCGCGTGCCATCTTTAACGACTCACGTGATGTCATCGAGAAGGCGGAACTAGCGACTGACTTCCGAAAACAAGAGTGAAAACATTGCTGAAGCGCTGCCACTATAGTTCGCCAGCATTTTTCTTTCTTTGTTCTGTCGTGGTAGTCCCTCGATGACACGTACAGGCAGGAGTACTGTTGCCACAGCTCCACGAACCTTTCCTCCATCTCATAACTCCACCTAGCAGCACCATCATCTCTCTTTCGTTTCGCCATGTTTGAAACCTGTGTATGAAAGAGCTTCTGTGCTGCTATTGGTCAACGTCACCAATGTGACAGAACTCGTCGTGGACGACGGAAAAAAAATTAAACACGCTAGTCTTTCTGTCGTGATGTCGTGAAGCATCGCAGATGCGGAATCGGTTGTCGTCCACTATGACACACTACACGAGCTGAAACGATGGAATCTTGCGTCC